CACTTAGCTGGGATTGCCACTGATAGTATACGCCTCGAGGCACCTCTTTGTGAGATGTCTTCTTCGACTTGGGGCGAAGGACAACCCCATCTGCAAATCAACACTGCCCAGTTCCCGCCCGCCTTTCAGGCAATGGCACCTGCAGGCTACAAAGCCCCACCACTTTAGAACTCTGAGCTCCTAGTGCGATACTGCATCTACAATCGGATTCAACTTCCTCCGAAACTTGACCTGGCTGACCACCATGGGGCATATGCACATCTTTCATCCCCCCTAGGGAGTCTGACTTGCAACATCCTTTCGCCATTGAGTGTCGGTTGTCTGTCCTTGACAACGAGTACGTGATCCGAACCTCTTCTGATGACCTCGGTTTGAATAACCGCTGTCGCACCAGTGGCTACATGATGGTGGTTTTGAGAATCTGGCAATGTCGCAATTTGCGATTCCCCCACAAGCTCTGTGCTTCCTTGTGAACCGGGACTTCATTGACGACTTCGAGTACTGAGTCCGTGGGGTATCTAGTAGTTCAGCGCGATTGCTCGCTTTGTTTCTTTGGTGTTTGTTTGCTTGGTGGTTGCTTGGTGTGTCTGGCGGATTGTGTGCGCTGATTCTGTTTCACCCTTTACGTCGAGCCCAACAAGACCGGCCTACTGTGCTACTGATGTAGTAAAGAGGCGTCAGTCCAAAAAAAAAAATAGGCCTCTTAAACTGCTGCCTAAAACTTCTCCAGAAGGCACAGAAGTGCTTAGGCCCCGCAAACGGCTGCCGGAACCTTCGTCAGAAGGCCCAGAAGGGATGTGAGGAACTGCTGCTTTAACCTATCCCAGCATATCCAGAAGTGACCAGGCCTAGCACTTTGCTGTGGGTCCCGCATCAGGTGTCACGGGGTAAACCTGCTTGAAGTGCTCTCAAAAAATCGGCCGCTGCGCGGGGCTTCAAGTTATAAGACCCCTTGACCCTCACACTTGACGCGCGGTTGGCTGCAGACCGCCTTGGGGGCCTCAAACTGCACCAGGCTAAGCATGCCAAGCCGATAGGCTCCCGGTGCCTGGGAAGAACACGAGCCAAGTGCCAGCAAGCAGTTGGGGCTCTTGCGCCGTCTCAAAAAATCGGCCACTGCGTGGGGCTGTAAGAATATGGCCTCTTGCAAGCAGCGCTCCAGGCCCGCTCTATGGCCATGGCTATGTGAGGACGCCCGGACTCACACAGCGCCGACGGCAGCATTGTGTAGCCACACCAGCCCCTTGCCTCCCCCGCTGAACGCCTTTTCTGGCACTCTGTGTGCATTGTGCTTAGTGTGCTTGCAACTTTCTTGCCAACCCAACAAGGAGTCCTGAGTGCTATTGCTACGGCCCTGGCGCTTGTGTGGGGACTGTCTCTACGGCTCTACGGACGCGTTGAGCAGTTTAGGTGACGGAGGTTCCTTGCCTTACGGCCTACCCATACTTCGCTTAATGTCTGTACCAGACGTGGCGCAGCATTGCTATGGGTGACGGGCAGCTGAGTGATGGGTGCCGGTAGGTTCTTGTTGCATTGGTCTCACCATGCTGGCCTTGCGTTAAGTTGTCTTGCAATAAGGGCCTCTGCGCTAGCGGTTGCTTCTTTGTAGTCACGACTTCTTTTTCACTCGCTGGCTTGTACAGTTTGGCTCTCAAAGTAGATGTCCTTGTCTCACACCTAGTTGCGAGCCCCACAAGAACGGCCTACTGTGCTACTGATGTAGTAAAGAGGCGCCCGCTTTAGAAAAATAGAGGTTCACGGCAGCTCTTCCGAGTCGGAGGACACCAAGCCAATGTCCCCTGCTTTCCACAAGAAATGGAGGACACTGCACGCAAGTAAGGGTCTGGCGCTTTTTGGAACTGCGCACCATTGACCTAGCTGCTTTGCGAGAAGTGGACGTCTGCCTTTCCGATTGCCTGCTTTTGAGGATGACCACTGGAAACGGCTGGTGGCACCCCAACCATGCGTGGGCCCAATCATGCCCGCCGAGAATGGTACGACGCTGCTACGGCGCACTGGGCCGCTTGCAAGGGGGTCGAGACATCCCACTAAGCAAAGTCTAAACAGCTTTTGGTTTAAGATGTATTGCCATCGAAATCCCACAGAGCCAGAGCCCTTTGCTCTCAAAGTGATAACTTCCTTACAGGCGTCAGGGAGACGGAGGAATTCAGTACGAGCAAATAGATGCTGCCGCTAGAACGCTGTGGCACTCTGCCAAGCACGAGTGGCCCAATTGTCGTCGTGCCAATTCCCAAAGGCATCCCTCCTTGGGGAACGGAAGCGGAGAATTTGCTGGGGCATGTGGGAAGCACCTCACAGGATCCTGACAGGGGCCTTACACAGTCGGCTGCGGCGGCGGTCCCAGCAGGGGTTCTGGCGGAACCACGCTTTCGAGGGGGGGCCGAGACATCTGGACAAGCCCGACAGGCGGATAGCGGCTGGGAAGGTTTCTGGCAATGATAGGACAATTGGGGCATCCGCCCCCAGAGCTTGCTACGGCAAGAATGAAAACATCCGATGCAAAATGAGCTGTGAAGAGCGATGGAATCGGTAGCCTCTTGGCTATTCTTGGATAGCCCCACTGGCTGATCACCATGGGGCAGGAAGATTCAGTGGGGCGAACGCCTGATTCCTCACTGACTGGTCACGGTGCGTGCTTCTACGTTGCACTGTGCTGGTTTTCTGCCTTGATCGACACTGCCTGGCGAGCCGGGTTGGAGTGTTGCAAATGACTCCTTGGCTGATCACCATGGTCAGTCGGCTGTTCCCACTGGCTGATCACCATGGCAAATTTGGCCTACCCTCCCTGTGGGAGGGGTAGGCCCCGATGGGGTATTGCATCATGCCTCGGTTGCCACAACAGTCAAACTTCGGCCGATGCAACCGTTCGAGTAGGCTCACACCGCCCGTTCTTGGAATGTCGGCAATGATAGCTGCGAGTATGTGACTATCCAACCTGCAGGCTGCCAACTTATTCAGATGATTGCGTGATGGTGGTTTTGTTCTCTGGCACACAATCGCATTTTGCGATTCCCCCACACGACTTGGTGCTACTATGGCTCTGCTCAGGGACTACATCGACGAGCTTGGGTACTGAGCGCGTGGGGTCTTCTTAGTAGTTTCGCCCCTCTTCTGGTTTGTCGGTTGGTTGTTGTGTTGCTGCTTTGGTTGGTTGGGTGGTTTCTTCTTTCTTGGTTGTGTTGCTTCTTTCTGGCGACCTGTTCGCACCTAGTTGAGAGACCCACAAGAACAGCCTATTGTGCTACTGATGTAGTAAAGAGGCGCCCGCTTAAAACAAAATCTGTATTCTTCTTCGAAAAAAGCATGGGGTGGAGAGCTGGGGGCAGGAGGGTGGGGTCCGGAGGGAGGAGGAGGGCGGGGGTTGGATTGTTGCCTGACGGCAACATGGGGGTGACACTCTCCGCTTGGAACTGCCGTGGAATGTTATGCCAAGGTTGCGCGCGATGCAGGTTTTTCAGGCTTTTTGGCAGGAATCGCACAAGTTGATGCCAATATCAGCAAACAGAACATCACGCAATCTTTGCTCTGCACTACTGTCACAGCGGCTCTCACAGCGGAGGGGGGGAGCCTGTTTCGTTTGGAGGGTGGGTGGTTTGGCTTGGTGGGTTGTCGTTTGCTGGCTGTGAGAGCTTAGTGACCCTGGGTTGAACCAGGGTTCGGGGAAGGGGAGGCCCCCCCTCCCCCAAAAATGTTCGAACCCTGGGTTCGAGAACTCCATGTTCGAACCCTGGGTTCGGAAAATTTATGTTCGAACCCTGGGTTGAACTTAGGGTTCTAACATTTCAAACCCTGGTTCAACGTGGGTTCAAGAGTCATATGTTCCCCCCCTCAGGGTTCGGGAACACTGCAGAAACTTATGCTCGCCTCAAGACGAGAAGCTCACAGAAAACACACACGCAGCCATTAGGCCGTGTAGACAAGACGGAGCAAAGGGAATAGGGGAACCAAGCCCTCTGGCGAACGTGAAGGTGTCCTGCGACATTGCTTTGCACGCAATGAAAACCAAGGTAGAAGCGTGGAACAGCCGTGGTAGTGGCTTGAAAGCACCATTTGATCCGAGATGCTTGACCAACAACTGTCTTGAAGTGGACCACGTCCTAGCGTGCAGGCAGTGCCTTGCGGAAGGGTTAGTCGGTCGCTACAAAACAGGCTTTCAGGTGTCATGTTGTCTTGGCCAGCGTCGCAGGCATATGACACTTCCCTTACTGTTGCTTATTATGTTTGACTGTTGAACACCTGTCTGGAATCCCGAGCGATAGTTGCCCTCATGGCAAGACCGAAGACGTGTTTCCGGCACCTGGCAGCTGTCATCGAAGATCGACAGCAGCATGGTGTCAATGCAGCATGCGCCTTGTCACCGCATGCCTGTGAGAAGTGGTGGTGGGCAGATAGTGCAACCGTTGAGCTGAGATGGGATAGCAAAACGAAGTGCAAGCACGAGCAGGGTCCTGTGTCGTCCGAGAGAAAGAGCAGTCAGGGGATCTTAAAATGGATTTTGCTCACGAGAAACGACAGCTCTCCCAACGCTTCAAAGATGGGGAGCCCGGGGGGTGCGGCAAGTGGCAGCATGATAGCCACGATTGTCAAAGCCATATAGTGAAGTTTAAGCAAGCAGTGTAGTCCAGGATTACGGATTATGATAATGTTCGTGAAGCCAACAGTAGCAATAATCGTGATCAAGACATGAATATTCATGTTAGCTGCTGTTCTACGAATTGAGACGATAGAATTGTGTTTCTGCGTTAACGTCACAAGTTCTATTATGCTTGTACACAGGCCTTGCCCAAAGCACAGTCGCAGCTAGCGATGTCTTTTCATCGAAACATCCAGGCTTTGATCATCTGATTTATCATCTTAGGCTGCTGTGGAATGGGGGCAGAATGGGGTTGTGAAGCAATGGGCGATTTGCAGCCTTTCACGCAGAATGTGGCTCCTACTCGAGAGTGCGTGTGTGTTCGGTCTTGGATCCACCGCCAAGCATGCTTCACGTTCGGATGCCATCCGGGGAGGAACTGGCCTCCATCCCCGCAGCAGACCTAAGCACTGTGCGGAACTTGAAAAACGATTTGCAGAGAATCTGCGGTGTTCCACGTTTCCGGCAGAAGCTGCTACACGGAGGCAATGCTTTGGAGGAGGATATGCGCCTCGATGCTTCGATGGAGAGCGTGCTTCTAGTTTTAGTGGTCTTCTGCCCTGCTTCGGAAGATGAGATTGAGGAGCTCGTTTTCTCCCCTAGCCAGGGCTCTGTGGAGGAAGTTGAACAGATACTGCAGCGGTCCATAGACCCCAATGCAGCGACTCCCGATGGCAAAACAGCTCTCATGCAGGCATCTCTAGAGGGCCACACAGAGTTTGCGGACTTGCTTTTGGAAGCTCGGGCTGATTTGGATGTGTCCGACAATGATGGTGTCACGGCCCTGCTTACTGCATCTCGCGAAGGGTGCGAGGACATGGTCCAATGGCTCCTGGTCGCAAGGGCAGATTTCAACAAGGCCGACGGCAATGGCTGCACACCCCTGGTCGGGGCCTTTCAAGAAGGGCAGCTGCACGCTGCACGGCTCTTGGTGCAAGCTGGCGCTGGTACCGGTCCAGGTCCTCAGGGAAACGAGCTGCTTTACAACGAATGCGCTTTTGGCCACAACCGGGAGGTTGTCCAATTGCTCTTGGAAGCGAGGGTTGACCCCAATACTGCCACTGAGGACGGCTCGACAGCTCTCATAGGTGCATGTGATGAAGGTCGTCCGGAAATCGTACAATCGTTATTGGCCTCGGATGCCGATGTAAACCTTATAGACTCCAATGGCTTCCCTGCGCTCTTCCTGGCATCCCAAAACAAGCACGCGGAAGTTGTGCGCATGTTGGTGCAGGCTGGTGCTGACCCGGATAAAGAGATCATGCAGACCACTGTCCTTCACAATGCCTGCGTGGAAAACTCCGTCGAGGTTGTGCGCTGGCTCTTGCATGCAAAGGCTGCTCTCGACCAGGCGAACGAGGACGGCACGACACCGTTGAACCTGGCCTGTTCTTTTGGCCATTTGGAGATCGTGCGATTGCTGGTGGAAGCAGTGGCTGACAGAATAGGCGTTGCGGGCCTGGACCGTGTGTACGGTGGCTACACTCCTCTACATTGTGCCTCGATTCACAACTATTTGCCCGTTGCACATTTGCTTGTCGAGGCCGGGGCCAGCAAAGACATAACTGACGAGGTCGGCTGCATTGCCTTTGACTATGCAAAGAGTGACGACATGGCGAAGCTGCTGGCAACAGACAAGCCGAGAAATAGACAGAAGGGCGACGAGGAGTGTAGCGAAGCCGTCGAGAGCGACATCCACGGAGACGAAGACCAGTCCAGGGAGGGCATCCGCGAGGGCATCTGCGGTGAAGTTTGGCAAGCAAGGAACCCAATGAACAAACCAGGCCCGGCGGAGGAAGCTGCGCGCACATACGTGGCAGGATTGCTGTCCCCCTTTTGTCGTCCCTCCAAGGGGAAGCAACGTTGACATACGTTGATCTACGTGTAGTGTGAGTCGTGAAAATGCGACCAAAAGTTGCAGTGGATCTTTCTGCATGGCATCACTTCCCCCAAGGGGCGCCTTGTGAAGGCAGATGCCATCTTCCGTTCGCGCTCATTTGTCGTATCCATGTGAGGCAGCCTCAGTGCGGCAAAGCACTACACAAGAAGCTCCGCCAACCCCGGTCTTTAAAGTCTACCGTTGCCGAGTTAACATGACTATTAAGTATACTTTTTTTCAGCAGCCTCCCCTTTCGGCTAGGATTGAAAGTCTACCGCTGCTGCGGAGCTAGCATATCATCCCTCCACTCCACACCCAGCGCCCACTTTCAGTTTCAGTCTTCACAGTCTACCGCTGCAATTCCTTTCCCCCCCCCCCTCCCCAAACAAAAAACACAAAAACAAGTAATCCCCCTTCTTTCGGCACCCGCTCTGTCTTGTCTTGACTACACATGCAGCACCTTCAAGTTGCATGCTAGTTGCGAGGACGCGGGCTGCGTGATTCGCAGCAAGAAGTGCCACGTGGTTGTGCCAACCGTTGCCACGTTGCTCCTTTCTCGAGCCCCAAGATTCCAAAATCCTTGTTTCTCATTTTTCAACGAAGCAATTGTGGCCGCTCGGCCATGTCTTTTCTGAGCAAGTCGCTGGTCTGGCTTGCTTGGTTAGTCTTCAATGCCAAAGCCTCTCGGCAGGAAGCCGGATTGGTTTTGGGTAAGTTGAAACCCTAAACCCTAAACTTCCCTAAACTTCCCTAAACTTCCCTAAACTTCCCTAAACTTCCCTAAGCCCTAAAACCCTAAACCCAAAACCCTACGCCCTAAACCCTAAGCCCTAAACCCTAAGCCCTAAACCGGTCAGAATCCAGAACTCCCAGGTTGGTTCGTACAAGCTTTCGAGCACCCCTCTCACCGAAGGGGACAAGAAAGTGAGCGACCTTCTTGCCAAGACCGTGGTCGGTGAAATGAAGGACTTCCTTTTGTTTTCTTCCGAGGCCCTACAGCCCTGAAGCCCTTGCGCAACCCTCCCCGACTGCAATTTGCTTCTCATCTTACGAGGACTTCGACGACATGCCCGATCCGAAGGGGAAGGGCGAGAAGGGCGAGGGCACAGATAGCACGGGTGAGCTGGGCAAGAGCTTGGAGTTCTTGATGCTCAAGGTCGCCCAGCTTGAGACCCTTGCGGAGCTGCAGCAGACGGAGCTCGGGATGCAGCGTGCTCTGATCGAGAAGCTCCTAAAGAAGGTTGACCCGGAAGAAACCGAGGTCTCAATGGCGCGAAAGCAGAGTTCCGAGGAGAGCGTGCAGGAAGCTCATGACGTCTTGAAGAAGGTGGTCCAGAAGCACGCTCATCAGCGGGCTCACAGGGAGTACCATCCGGAGGCCTACAAGCAGAATAAGCAGAACAAGCAGAATAAGCCGGAGCAGAAGCCGAAGGCAGAAGAGGAGGAGCTGGAGGAAGAGGATTTCGAGGAGCTCGAGGATGGACCTGCTGAGAGCACTCAAAGCACTGAGAGCCCTGGACAGCAGAGGGCATTGCTCCAAAAGCGCGAGAGCTTGATTCCAGGCATTCCAACTCCTGGCCTGCGTCGTCGAATCGAGCACAAGATCGAGAGGGGGGTCAAGTACGTCCACAGCGGAGTCGAGAGCGCCGTCAAAGCGTCGGGGGGTTCCCCCAAAAAAAGGGGGGGCACTGCAGAACACAGTCCATGAACCTCAGATTTTCACCATTCACCCTTGCCCGACGTCTGACCCCAAATCTTAAATCCTGTCCGAAACCCTACAAAGCCCTTATCAAAAGCTTAACAGACCCTAATAAGGCCCTAAAAGCCCTCAACAAATCCGTATACAACCCTTGTAAAGCCCCTATCGCTCCCTGATACCCTAAACCCTAGACCCTGCAGGGTGGACGGCACGGGGCTCACGGGCGGCGCCCTGACCGAGGCGTACAACGCTGCCAAAACAGCAGGAAAAGGCGTCTGTGGGCTTTTTTGTATTAGCAAGGGGTGTGTAAATGGGTTTTGTACGGTCTTTTCGGATTTTCGGGTTCAGGGAAAAGGAATTCTGTTTAAGCCGCAGAAGGCATTTAGCTTAAGATGCCAAACCAGGAAGATGTAGTAAACCTTCAGTTAAGCTCTTTAACAACAGCGCAGGCATAGAGTTTGTGGCGAACACCGCAATCGCCACTGTGGAGATGGCCGTGTCGATCCTGACGGGAGGCCGGGTGAGGGACCTGGCACAGGGCAATATATTATTGCATTTTCGGCCCGCCCCGCACTTCCCCTGCTCCTTCCCCCACCTCTACCCCTCCTCCCCCTCCTCCACCTTGCACTCCTCCCTCTGCCCTCCTCCCCAAGCGCTCCCCCCTCACCCCTCCTCCACCCCTCCCTTCCCTAACCCTAAAGCCTTAAGCAATTGGAAGAACCCTAAGGCTCAGATTATGTTAATTCAATTAAATATGTCTCTATATGATATATACAAAACATCTCTCTCCCTCTCTCTCTATAAAATTAAAAAAAGGGTTATTGGACATCCCTCCTCGGGAGGCTTTAGCGACTGGAGCGCGAGTTGCACCAACAATCTTCCAAGTGTTGGCATGAACGGGGGCGAGCTCTACGTCAACTTCGGGCACAACTCCTGCTCTATTTCCCTCATGGGTCAAAGAGTCACGCTTTTCGACTGGAACTGGGGAAGGAGAGCAGTAAGTCTTAACAAGATCATCGAGCAGATCCCTCCTCTGAGCTACCTGACCCGCATGACCGACATCATCACCGAGGCACAGGTGTAGCTAACAGGGCCTCCGGAGATTCTCCGGGGTCACCAGGGTCGGGGTCTGGGGGTCTGAAGAGTACCGAGGTAGACTCGGGGTCGCTGTGAGCGTGAGCATGCGATGCCCGTGAGGTCATCGAGGTCTTTGCCAAGGTAGCTGGGACGGTTGTGCAGAAGGCGATGGAGAAAAGCACCTCCCTGGTGCAAACCGCTGCCACAGCGAAATTTCCTGCTGTCGGAGAGCCGCCTGTGCTGCACCACAAGGGCACGAACCTTGTCATCGAGTCACACACGCGGCACGGGCCTCCTCGAGAGATGGCTGCCATGCAAACAGATGCCCGACATTCAGAGGCTGGCGACGACGTTGACGGGGCCATCACTTACGACATGGGCAGCAGCAACGATGTCCGCGCCACAAAGCTCATCACCCAGTTCAACGGCAGGGAGACGGACACCAGCTCTTGCTTGGCTTTTGCCCCAAAGAACCGGAGGGGCGGCGGTGTGAGCCAAGCCGATTGGCAGGTTGGCAACCAGAACGATTTCCTCCAGCTCGAGCCTTGGGCCGTGCCCTGCGACAACACGTGGATGAAAGACAACTGGGACAAATGGCAAGGCTACACGTTCTACTCTCAACCGAAGCCCGTCGAGAAATGCGTGACTGTGACCTTCAGTCTGGGAATGCAGCCTGTCGTGGCCTTTGTCGGGGGCTTGCAATTTGAGGTCTTGCCGAAACCCCTCTTCGAGCTGGCCACGACCGTCTGCTGGCCGAACCAGCAACCGGGGGGTGTTGACTTGAGCGTGTTGCGATCTGAGGTGAAGTCCGCGGGCATCCTGCTTTTCAGCCGCACCTTGCGCCTCACCAAGCGGTTCGGCGGGGGCACGGACTTCGTCTCTTCGAACTACAAGGGTGGCTATTCGACCTGGCGGAGCGATGTCGGCATCGCCCACGGGGAGACCACGGTGCCGAAGGACCAGCTCAGGCGCACGTCCTTCTTGGAGACGAGGCAGAGCCACGAAAAAGAGGAGGGAGAGGCCGAGAAAAGAGGGGAAGAGACCGAGGCCGAGGCCGAGGCCGAGACCCAGTGGAGGACGGACTCGGAGGACCTGTACCTGGCATCTGTCGACTACGGCGTGGACCTGAACAGCTCTGTCAACAAGACCTTCGAGGCTCATGGCGAGGAGGCCGCCATGCACATGGGCGCCGAGAAGGTGGGGAAGGACGTCTTCAAGCTTTTCAGCTTCAAGAACCCGGGATTGGTGAACTTCAAGGTCGAAGGTTTGATGGCCGGCAACATCCTGGAGTTAGGCGTGGAGATGGGATTCGGCCCATACAGCAGTCCTTCCAGGAGCATTCCCTTGGTGAACATCGCCCACCAGTTCTCCGTCATTCTCGCAGGCATGCCTTTCGTGTCGAGTCGAAGCAAGCTCAAGGCCATCGCCGCGCTCAACGATTTCTCCAGCAAGGACATGGGCAAATGCCGGGCTCCAAAATCGCGTTGTACAGCCCGCATTGCCGGCGGTTCATGCTCATGAACAACGGTGGCCTTGGGGTCACGCCTGAGATGAACGGCCACGGCATCCCCGATCACTGGGGGTGGGAGCGCTTCACTGTTGTGGACGCCGGGAATGGGGAGATCGCGTTGCACAGTCCCATTCACAACCGCTTCGTGGGCACAGGCGGCGTCAGCCCACATCGGAATGCACATGAATTGCCCCACGACTGGAGTTCTGAGCGCTTTACGGTGGTGGAGGTCGGAAACGGGGAGACGGCATTCTACAACAGGCACCATAACAGGTTCCTGAACATGGCGGCCCACCATGTGGGACACAGCGGCCATCCCCCGCACCCTCCAAAGCTCCCATCCGGCTGGGGCTGGGAGCGCTTCCGCGTCGTGCCGGCGGAGCGGATCTTGGTTCCAGGCTCCACCATCGCCTTGCACAGCCAGATCCACAACCGCTTCGCGAAGATGCACGGGGGAAACATGGAGAGGAGTGCGGAAAAGGCGGCCACGGAATTTCCCGATGGGTGGACCTGGGAGCGCTTCACCGTGGTGGATGCTGGACATGGACAGATCGCCTTGCACAATGCCGTCCACAATCGCTTCGTCGGGGTGGGTGCGGCAAGCCCTCACAGGCTGGTGGATCAACTTCCTGGGGACTGGGCTTCCGAGAGGTGGGACGTGTGGCCAGCCGGCAACGGCCAAATCGTCCTGCACAACAGACACCACAACCGGATGCTTCGCATGTCAGGCCACACGATGGATGCAAGTGGCCACATGGATCCGAAGCATTTGCCAGACGGATGGGGTTGGGAGCGTTTCGAAGTGGTTCATGTGAAGCCATATCTTCAGCCGGGCACTACGGTGGCCCTCCGTTGTCCACATCACGGACGCTACGTTCTGATGTATCCAGGTGCTCCACAGTCCTTTCTGCTGGAGAAGGAGAACCACACTCAGAACTTGACTCAAAACGACACATTCCTTCCATCTTTCGGAGGATTCAACTTCAGAATCCCAGGAGCCGGGGGCTTCGGAGGATCGCTGCCATCTTCATCCGACCCCTTTGGAGCAGTACGCCGGGCTGCCGAGGAAGCGGCTCGGCGGGCGCAAGAGGAAGCTGCCCGTCAGGCCGCGCTCAGGGGAACCATCGGCCGCAGCGCGCCCCAGGATGCCCACAGCTTCCCAGACAGTTGGACCTACGAGCGCTTCACGGTCATTGATGCTGGGAATGGGCAAGTGGCCTTCCACAACAGCGTCCACAACCGATACCTGAAGATGGCTGGTGACCGAATGCTCGTCAGCTCCCCCATGGCTGCTGATGCTTACCCCTCTGGGTGGACTTGGGAACGCTTCACAGTGCTACCTGCTGGGGGAGGCACGTTCATGCTCCACAACTCCGCGCACAACCGCATGATCAGGATGACAACTGATAAGGTGGATGCCAGCAGCCACATGAACCCGCAGGACATGCCGGCTGGTTGGGCATGGGAGCGTTTCCAGATTGTGAGTGTCAAGCCCTACTTGCAACCCGGCACGGTGGTGGCCCTGCACAATGCTCATCACAACCGCTACGTCACCATGAACGGGGCTGCGCTCCAGCGCAGCGCGGTGAGGAACCTCAACGACTTGCCTTCCAACTGGGCCTGGGAGCGCTTCACCGTGGTGGACGCTGGCAATGGCCAGGTCGCCTTCCACAACGCAGCTCACAACCGCTTCCTGCAGATGAGGGGTGCAACGATGGGTTGCTCGAACCCCCACGCGGCGTCCGATCTGGGGAGCGGGTGGACCTGGGAGCGCTTCACGGTCGTGCCTACAGATAACGGCCAGGTTGTGTTCCACAACACGATTCACAATCGCATGATCCGGATGACCGACAGCACCATGGACGGCAGCAGCCACAAGTCACCGCAGGACCTGCCACATAACTGGAGCTGGGAGCGCTTTCGCATCGTGCCCATTACCGAGAGCCGTGAGACAGCCGACAGCATCCGTGCAACCTTTGACTGAGCTGAGCGAAGCTGAGCGAACCGTCATAGTCGCACCCGGACCTGGCAGCATTGCAAAAAAAGAACTTCGATTGCAGAGAGCCTGCCTCTGCCCAATCAGCGCCCCTGTGTCCGCGCCATGAGACGACTGTCTGCTCTCTTTGTGCCGTATATTTCACACACGCATATTTCTTGCTTCAAAACTTTGAGGCGTTGTGACAGCTGACAGCTTCTCTTCAAGTACCATTTGCCTTGTTCCCAAGGCACACTGGCCCGCCTTGCGTGTAGACCGAGTGGGACTTACATAGTCTTTCGAGCTGAAGAGGCATTCGCTGTCTTCCTTTTAGCTCCTGGTTTCAGCACTTATTTCTGTGTCGGCCTGTGCGCGTTGCTGCATGCGCTTTGCTTGTCATGTGTGCGTTGGTTAGGCATAGGTTGGGCATCCCAAGATGCTCGTAGGACTCCTGACGCTGGTTGAACCTTGCCCGAGGCCATTTCTTGTTGCTATTTTGTTGCGCTGGATCGGGAAGAGATTCGCTTGAAAGCATTGTCTCCCCTGCCATGCTTCTCACCCCCCCCACCCCCGGTATCTAAACAGTAGGGGACATGGATCTCCACAAGACACCCCTAGACTCAAGAACCTTTTCAGCTCATGTCTCCCCTATCTGCAGCTCATGGAGTTTGAGGTCCGATCTGCATTCGACTTGCTCCGTGCTCTCTGCATGTGTCTCTGCATTGGCGCACTTCGCGCTTGACATTTTCAAGCAACAAGTTGTCTGGTGCTTCAGTGTGATTTCGCAAAGTTCTGGCGAAAAGCTGGCAGGTGTGTGAAAATGACCGCTTCCCTCTGGAGACGACTGGCAGCGACTTCCGCCAGACGGCACTGCTCTATCAAACCGATGGCTGGGAGGGCTATCAGGACTGGGTTTAGGGTTTAGGCTTTTCGGGTTTTGGGTTTGAGGCTTTTAGGGTTTAGGGTCTGGGGTTTAGGGTTTAGGGTTTAGACTCTGCCATGTTCTGTCCAGCTGTCAACCTTCGGCAGTTGCCACTCCGGCCGTATGCCCCAACTTGCAAGGCTTGACCTGCATGACATTCCATACACACATCACACTTATTACGCGCTCCACTGGCAGATGAACGTACCATGAACTTGCTACCATCAATTCTCCTGACCTGCAGGACGACGAAGTGGAGGAGCTCCTTACCCGCCCCCGCGCGCCGAAGCCATGGCACGTGCCAGATGAGGAGATCCAGGCAGAAGATGTGCAGAGTGGGGAGCTGGCCGGGCAGAACTTGGAACAACTCAGAAGAAGCTCAAAAAGCAAATCATAATTCAATACCAGCTCACATCTTCCCAGACTTACTCTGAGCTCCCGCAGATGTTGCTGAGTCTTCTGCTGAGTCTTGCCTGAGTCTTTGGCTGAGTTTGTTATGTTGTTCTGAGTTCTTGGCGATGTTGTATCTGAGTCGCTTTTTCTCCTGTGGGTTCTGGGTTGCTCGTTTCGACTGAGACTTGTCTGTTTCATCCTTTTCCTGAGTTCTGGCCGGGCATGTCTCAAACCGTGCTCCATCGTATGGGGAAGAGGCCATCAGAGCCCAATTCTAAATCCCCGAAAACTTACGCCCATCTACACCCCTCTAGACCCTCAACTCCCCCCCCAAAAAAACCCGAAAACTCCCCCTATGAACTCCAGTGGGATGAGACACCTCAAAACGTCCCAAGAAACCACCATGAAAACCCCCAAAAGCCCGTCATCTGGCTTCCAGGCCATGGTTCGTGAGACAGGTGCGCGGGAGGGGGCGCCTTGGCAGGAGCTCTTAAGGGCCTCGAAGGGTGAACAAAAACTCATGGGGGATGATTCGGAAGGGCCATCATAAAAGAGTGGTCGTAGAACAGTCTTCGCCGGTAGTGATTGCAGTCATCGTCAGTCATGTTCATTATCGTCGTCATAGTGGTCCTAGTGGCCATACTAGTCATCACACTCACTGGTATGATATCGACGACAACCGCAGACTTCAAGCCTCCTCAGCATGAGAGGGCTGGGCCTCAGGTCCCCCAGGCCCTGCTCCAGCATGCGCGTGTCCGCCGCCCGCGAGACGAGGGGGAGGCCTTCTTGTTCGTTTTTCTGAGATTTTCTTGTTTCGGGTTTTTTGGGTTTAGGCTTGTTACCATCGAGTTGTAGAGGCAGTCTGCACGCTGCGGCGCTCAGGGGCTGAAGCGCATCGAATCAGAAGCAAGGAGGGTCCGGTTCTTTGACAAGCCATGGCTTTTGTTTACGTTTGCGCAGAGCCTTACTTTCGCTGCACAGAGCCCTTGCAACGCTGCCATGTCTACCGCAATCTGCTACAGGCTCTACCTTGAACAACACCTTGCGCATCCTGCTCTCATGGCTTTCAGCGATCTCAATGACTCGCTTTTCTTGTCATGTGCTGTCCCCATCCTCAAATCCAACAAACAAATCGCTTTAAATCGCCTCTTCGAGCTTGACCCTTCATCCGGGAGGCTTTGGCCAGGCTCCTGCAGGAGCACTGCGAGAAGGAGGAGGTGGAGGCACCCGTGCCTTCGGAGATTTTGCACGTTGGGGAGAAACGGAGTACGTCTGCACAGGAGGGTCCCTCCGAGCTCCGGTCCTCTCTAAGGAGGCGGTCTTCCGTCGGCAAGAGCAGGCAGCGGGGATAGTAGAAGCTTGGGGGGTTGAGGGCCAAGTCGAGTCGCCAGGTCCGTCCGATTTGCGGATGCCGAGACCGAAGATGCGCTTCAGAGGCCCGACTGCACGACGTACGCCGAAGTACAGCTTGCAAGACACTCCCTGGATAGCTCGGCGGGACTCTCTGCGGGATGCTCTGGGACCTCCAAGGGTCCAAGGATACTTAGCGGAACTCTCTGCCTTGTCTGGGGCTCTCTGCAAGCAATGGATATGGTTCGCAACGGACTATTTCCGTGAGGAGACGGATGAGGATGAGGACGAGCACTAGCGATATGACGAGATGATGACAATGGTGATAACGACGATGGCGACGATGATGTTGGGGACGATGGGGGCGATGGTGACGAAATGCCGGCGACGATGGCGATGACGACAGTGACGCCGATGGCCAGGACTCTGAGACTGATGCTGGTGGTGGTAGTGGTTTACGATGATGGTGATGGTGAGGGTGAGGGTGAGGGTGGAGTGAGGATGAGGGTGAGGATGATGGTGAGGAGGAGGAGGAGGAGGAGGAGGAGGAGGAGGAGGAGGAGGAGGAGGAGGAGGAGGAGGAGGAGGAGGAGGAGGAGGAGGAGGAGGAGGAGGAGGAGCAGGCGGAGGACACCGACTCTGATTAACAGGCGACTCAAGTTATTCCTGCTTGTTACCTTGATGTTGAGCAGTTCCAGGTGCGGTTCTGCGAATTTTTTGCAGGGCACTGCCAGGCTGCATGCACGTGCTTCTTCCGGGCACAGAGGGCCCATGTCGAGGCTCCTTCGCCACACCCAGGAGTCCAAGCCGGCGGGCACCGAAAGGGCGGAGGAGGGGGTCTCGTTGGGTCAGTTGCAGCCTTTGCAGTGCCAGTGGCAGAGCCGTACTCTTGCCGGAAGCTCGAAGTCAAGAGCTGCAACCCAGAAACCGCCTTCTACCGGCCGAAGAGGATCAGAACAAGAAGTCATGGAAGATCTCCGACGATGACTTCCGGGCCTTTGTGCTATCCCTTGCGCAGGAGGATCCAGTGACTCGGCAGGGATTCCGCCTGTGGTCTGGGAGCCCTAAGCCCCTCGAATATGCAAGAGTCCGTCTGCTTTGGATTGAGGGGTCCAGAGGGTTTTGGTGTCTTCGATCCGGTTGGGTTGCATAAACATTGTACGCTTGATTTAGTGGCGTGTTATGAAATTAGTATTGAAGACTTGGTGGATTGGTGCTAGAAAGCTGAAACTTTGCATGAATTTTGCACATATTTTTCCACCTCAGACACCTTCCGACACTCAAAGCTCAGAATCTGTACGTCCTCAAAGCCCGCCAGGAGCCTTGAAGGAGAGAGTTGTGATCTGAGTCCCGGAATTAAAGTTTTACCTTGAACCACTGCAAGTTGCATTAAACTTGGGAAGCCAACCCTCGATTTGAAAGGCACAGCAAAGCCAAGAACTCTTCACAATTCTTTATTGGGATGTTCCCCCTTCTACTTCCAATGCCTAATCGGGATTATAGTACCCCCTATGACATTCCCTCTTAAGGGCTGTTCGTAAAAAGGAACATCCCAATCTCTACAGTTCTTTACGAGAAGAGGCTCCGAAGCCCCCGGTGCTCGCTGCCTCAGCATCCGCGCCCGTGTTGCGCGGCCGCGCGGGCCCAGCGGGCCCAGCGGGAGCAGGGGCCAAAGGTTGTTACTGAGGCTCTTCGGTATGTATGTATTTCTGTACGTCTATATATATGTATATGTATATATATATATATGCAAAAGTTTATTGTGTGTATGTGTGTGTATATATATATTCTTATAAAACAGTATGCTGCCGTATTCTGTGATGTTATAGACATGTCTTGGGGTTTGGGAATTTGGGTCTTGGGGAGCTTGATGTTCGTTTCGTGGGTTGAATTGAACACACAACCCCCAGAGTGAACACCGAGGCCCTGAAGGACCCGAGGATCAACGTCCACATCTACTTCGTGGACTCACAGGCTTGGTACACAGAGCCCCCAACTCCTCGGCGGATCCGCCGATGTGCGCATATGCCAGGATGTCATGACGTTGCGCCTGGGGCTCGGTCGGTGTATTTAGGGTTTAGGGGTTTAGGATTTACGGTTTAGGGTTTAGGCTTTAGGCTTTAGGGTTTCGGGCATTTTAAAGTCCATGAGTTCTTCCTCAAAAATCTTGCGGTTCTTGTCTTCGCCAATGCCAAGGCGTCTCACCTGATCTTCGGGTTGGCCCGGCACAGCCTCCCAAAGGACCCGTTCGATCCGTGCAGTTGGGTGAGGCGTGTCATGGCCAGTTAAGGCCGGTTCATCTCCTAAAGCTCACCCGGGCCCTGAACCCCCAACCCCATCGAAACCCTAAACCCCTCCAAAAGAAGCGTTTGCGAGGAAACCGCTTCACTGACATGTGGCAGCCCTAGCCAAGCAGCCTTGCTGAGAGCGGAGCGGGTAGCATGATTAAGGGTATGACCGTCTGCTGAGATATGGCCTGGGTGCGAACACAAAGGGCTTTGCGGAGGCCGGTCTGACCATGGCACTTCTGGGAGCAGGGATCCTTGCACATCGGAGTTCGCTCAGTTCAAGAAGTTCGATTACCAGCGGCGGCAGTGGCTTGGTGGCTTCCGCAAGGACTGGGTCCCAGCCCGAGCCTCAGCAGCTCAGCAGAGGGGGGGCTTGCTAGTGAAGATCGGCGCTTCCTGCGACGAAGCTCGAGAAGGGCGGTGCTCTGCTGATCTTGGTATGCTTTCGGCCTTTCGGCTATGGTCATCTGCCAATGACTGAACTGTGCAAGCATTCGCGTAGCTCGAGTCGCCACACTCATGATGACCTTCAACTGACGAAGTGCCAGAATGGCAAAATGAACACATGGAAGCACGTGACACAGCAGGAATGTAACGGGCATGCAAGAAGCTTGTAGCGCATCCCCACAACGTTTCAACTCGCCGGACGCTGACTGGACTAGATGCCTGTCGAGTCCAAGGCAATGGATACATTCAGGCCATGCCATCCATGCCCGAGCCCGGCGACATCCGAAGAAGCTGCAACCTCGCAGTCGCAGCATACACTGGCACACGCGGGATGCACAGCGATGGCCAAGACGGTGTCAGTGTATCTTCTTTCTGGAGAGACTGGGCTCAGCGGCCCCTCGGAAGCTTTCCAGGAGGCTGCAGACTTTGTACATGAAGTGAGGCTGCGCCTTCGGAGTAAACATGGGCTTCCTTATCATCGCACCTTCCTTCTTCAAGTCGGGAAAGGTATTCAAAGTATTCTTGCCAACGGTACTTCCTGGGAAGCCTTGGGTGAACCATGTGAAGTCCAGGTTGTGGTGCGGCAGCCATCTTCTGTTGAGGCAGTCTTAAGAAAAAGCGCGCAGCCACATGTCGTGGAAGACTTGCTAACCCATGGCTTGGACCCAAACCTCACGGATGAGGACGGCAAGACTCTGTCCCACCATGTGCTAGAGCGATGCCAGTCAATATCAACATGTGCCATGTTGGGGAATAGCATGGAACAGATTTGGAAGATGGTGGACGCAACGGACCGTCGAAAGGTCACGATGCTTCGGCAGCTGTGGCTGGCATGCGCGGATTTCACCATTAGAGACAAGGAGGGGAAGAGCGCAATAGACTTGGCAGCAGGCTCGGGACCCGAGGTGCGAGCTTTTTGCCGCACGTACTGCACGTAACGTGCAGCGCGCGGCAGAGCGCAGAGCCTGCATGTGAGCCAGCGCAAAGCAGTGTCGGTTTCGACACGGCGCTCCGGAACCACCGATGCAACAGAATCTTTCTGCACAGACGGCTCGACGTGTGAATTCAGAGGGGAAGTAGATTCGGCAGATCGGGCGAGGCCACAGATGCGCCAGTTTTTTAGCACACATTGCGGCTTCCTGCTGCAGGCAGCTGCACAGAACCCATGTGTGCACTGCTCGCGTTTAGGCCTTTCGAGTCCTGGTGTGAGACTGACACTTTGCAGTAGCAGTGGACCAGCATGTTCAGTTCAGGCAGTTGATAGCTTAGGAGGTCGTTCAGAGCTAGCCTTATGCTAACATCAGGTTTTTGGAGCCTCTTCAGCATCCATGAGGCTGTATGAGCAAAATTTGTCACCCGGCCCACTTTCGCTGCAGGGGAGCCCTCATTGAGTCATTCTTGAGTCCCAGTAAGGCATGGAGCGCAGCATCGATCGATGACTTGCCATTTTCTTTTCGGTTGTCAGCTCATGTAAATGAAGCTACACTTTGGACTCCTTGGACTCAGAAAGGCTTCTGAGCTGAGCGGGCAAAGCCCGCGGTTGAGGGGAGAACACATTCTGCCTAATTCAGGTGCCTCTTTTGCACCTGCAACCTGGTGTTCCGTGTGCTGTGCGCCACTCTTGCATCTGTTGCCCCGAAGTTTGTCCTATTTCTGGCTCACCGGATCTTTTAATTTGGAGTGTATCATCCTTGCGAGGCTAGTCCAAGACAATCTTGGTAGTCTAGTCGGTGAGCACAGGGCCAGTCGGAAGAAAAATGCATCGAGGCATAGAATCTGCATGTTGCGTGGTGTCCAAAAGACTGAAGATCAATCCAGGCCTGGTCCGAGTCTCTCAAGGGCATTGTCCATGACTTGACCGGCATGGACGTAGCCAGGCAATCCTGGAGCGCAGGGGTTTCAGTCCTCTCGCTTAGCTACTGCATACCTTGGAGTTTTCCTTCAACGCCTGCAGCACGGCTTGAGCCTGAAAACCTTACTGGTTCCTTGCGCTGCAGGCAGCGCTTCTTCTGGAAGAATGTGCCGATGACCAGCTGCAGCCTTGGCCGGGGGTCGTGTGGGTCTGAGGGGTGGCCCGGGAAGGGACAGCCCAAAAAAAAATCTGGGAGTTCTGAGTCCTGAGCTTTGAAGCTCCTAAACCCTCGGCTCGAAACCCAACAAGCCTCAGGCCTAGACCTTAAACCCTAAAAACCACCCCAAACCCTAACCGCCCCAAGCCCCAAGCTTCGAAAGCCTTCCTCACGCTGGCAGACGACAACCTCACGCTTCGATCATGGGGCGCTGGGAGCTCAGTCCTGACCTTCCGTGCGGGCGGCTTTGAGGAGGGGGTTTAGGGAGGGTTTTGGTTTGGGGTGGCGCTAAGGGGTTGGGGTTGGCGGCTGGCTTTTCTGGGGGTGCGGGGGGGGGGGGGTGTGCTGTAGTGTTGCAGAGCGTCTTCAAGCATGACGCCATGATGCCCTGCGACTGCCTGAAGCAGAGGTCAAAGATGGGGATGGGCGCTGCTGGCGCAGCTTTGAGGGTGACCCTAGAAGTTCCCTGAACTAGAGTACGGGCCGCCGCGGCTGTAGGTCGTCGAATCTGGATTTGCGAGTTTTTGGCCTTTCCTCCGTCCGCCATCATTTGCCAGTGTGCAGCTGCGCTTCCAGCAGAAGATTTCACCGCAGCAGCTGGCGATGATGCGGAAGGCGCCTTTACACCTCTTTTGCCACCTCAGCCGCCGTTGACTCGAAGCTGTTGGCGAGATTTGGCGAGGGTAGTCGGACAGCCGGAGCAGGGTTGAAGTTGGGGAGCTTTGCTGTGGCTGCCGGGGCCTGTAGCTCATGTGCAGGCTTGCCAAGCAGCCACGGCATCCGCTGGTGATGTGGAAAGGCGCGGAGTCAGGGTTTGCTGCCGTCTTCGAGCTCCCCTTGGTAGAAGGCCCGTAGTGTGCGTAGCCCTGGCGGGAAGCCGAACGAATGTCAGCCCGCAAGCCACTCATTGCCCCAGAGTTGCAGAATCGATGCAGTTCACAAGTGCACGAGGAGTATTGCGCAGGAGCATCGTGCCCGGGGGCTCTTTGTTTGCTGTCGCTTTGCATCAGGTCGATCGCCTCGATGATGGACCCCTCGCTGCCTGTCAAGGCTGCTGCTCGGCTGCAAAGGCATTCTGGAAAGTTTCTTGGAAGAGAGGTGTAGAAAGAGCATTCGTGCATCAACGTAGCTCTTTGGGTGCAGAGCCGACTTCCCCCGGCCGAGGAGATGGAGTCGTCGACGGCCTCCGACTTCTTCAAGCCCCGGAGGCCGCACGCGAAAGACACGAAACACACCAAAAGCACAGGTTTTTTTTCTCTTTTTTTTGCGTTCTCTCTTGAAAGATGTAGAAAACCTGCACACCCTGGCAGGCAGGAGGAAGCACCATCCTCGAAGCCGACGCCTTTGTTCCCACCGGGGATGTGCTTCTGGGGAGTTGTTTCGAGGGTCGCAAAGAGCAGACAACGTCGCCACTCGTTCTCGCCGCGTTCCGGCTGTTCAAGCCATTGAGCTTATAAACCCGTGCAAACCCGCGCAATATCACGCATTCAAATGTGTTCTGTGTAGGGCGATCGCGACGGCCGGCGACAGCGAAGGTTCAGTGCTCTCGAAAGATTTTTGTTTTCCCTAGCCCAGCAAACTGAGCCCTTCCCTAATTAGGTGAATGAGTCACGTGACTCCCAACATGGATAGCCTAGACGGCCTCGTCGACACCACTGCCTACCCGATCGGCCACGCTAGCGGAGTGTACGATGACCTGGTGCACCGATGCAAAGCGGAGATGGACGAGACGGGATTGTGTGTTCTGCGAGCTCCCGTCGTTGCCTGCATGGCCCAGGAGGTCGCAAGCCTTGGAGACAGTGCGAAGCGTATTTCAGCACTGCGGACACCATACTTGTCTGAGGATAACCGTGGCTTTGCGAGGGGTCACCCTCGTTCCGCGCTTTTTCCACAGCATATGAGCTACCTGTGTGCCAATGACATCTTCGCGGATTCTCTGCTGAAGCAGCTGTTCCGCCAGGACAAGCTCACCGACTTCGTTGCCGATGTGCTGGGGGGGAAGCAGTTGTACCGGAGCGAATGCCCAACGCTCTCCGTTCAGGTCAACATCATGCACGAGGGTGATGTGTTCCCGTGGCACTTTGACCAGACTGACGGTGCCGTGACGCTTCTCCTTCAAGCGGCCGACGCGGGTGGCAAGTTCCAGTACGCCCCAGGGATTCGTGGTGAGGCACCGTCAGGCGGGGAGATCGCGAGGAGAACTACGATGTGATGACCGACATCTTTGATGGGGTTTCTGATCGTGTCGTTGAGCTTGGCCAGGAGGCCGGCTCACTCATGATCTTCCGTGGCCGGCTTTCTGTGCACCGGGTCAACTCTGTTGGGCCGACGCGCCAGCCACGTGCGATTGCCCATCTTCAGCTACGCCACCGAGCCAGGAATGGAGTTCCCCGCGCAAGTGCAGGCGACGTACAGGAATCCATCGGCCAACACTCAACTGCTTTGTGGGAACGTTCGTGGTCCCAACCAAGCTGAGTGGGTGGGGCGGGGTTTGCCAAGGAACTAGCCGCCACTACCACGCCACTAGCCATCTGCAAATGCCTCACATAAGAGACCACGAATCGTGGTTCGCGAGCGCGCCGAGCTATCCCGTGATCCCCGAAATCCCCTGAAGCCCCCCGAGCTGCGGAAGCCTTGCGATGCACCCAGGGCCGCCCAGAAGCAGAGCAAGCGCGAGCAAGAGCGAATGGCGCCGGGAGCCTACGTGCACTTTCCTGAGACGGTGTCGTCTGTCGGCCAGAGCGGCCTGTATGCTTAGCCTTTCTGACCCTCAACCTGCAACATTCATTTGCAAGTCGGCTGCTCTAAGGCTGAAGGAGGAGGCGACAACCGCACATCTTCGAAACAGCAGGCGTTACTGGGGGTCAGGAGCAGAGAGACGAGCCTTGCGATCCGAGAACTTTTGTGTATCCTTGTTAGCTTTCGCAGTGACGTCAACGCTTGGGGTTCAAGCTGTTGGTTCGAGTGAGCCTGTCATTGCCACACACCCAACATCACTCAACGCCACTAAATCCCAACATGCAGCAGAGGCATCTCAAGCGCTGTACGTCGAAAGGGGATGTCTGGATGATGCCCCGGTGGATCTCGCTTCTTGTCGTTGAGTTTTTGAAGCATAAACCCTGTCCCTCAAGCCCTTAAGCCCTTAAGCCCTTAAGCCCTCAAGCCCTCAAGCCCTCAAGCCCTCAACCCCTCAACCCCCCAACCCCTCAACCCTGAACCGCTGAACCCCTCAACCTCTCAACCCCTCAGCCCCTCGGCCCCGAACCGCGTTGGAACCCACCTGCCCGGCATCCGAAGCCACCCGAAGCCTAAGCGGCACAAGCATCTTGAATCAGGGGTGCATGGGGTGGCTGCTGGAGCAATGTCCAACACAGGGTCTTGTGGTGCTCCCTGTGCCCACTTCAGTCGGACACCGAAAGAAAGCGTTGGAGTCCCTTGGAGCTGAGGCAGCAGAACTCGGGGCACTTCTCGCCCACGGGAAACCCCAAGACCACGGTGCTGAACCGGGACCGAGATGGATGGTTTTGGGGGCTCAGAGGATTTCAGGATTACCCCACAAACTTCGCATATTGGCCTGTGGTGTAGATGTTTGGGTGAACCTGTGGGCTGCATGGCCGTGGCGCTTGCAGATGCCTGCCAGGAGCCGGAGAAGTTTGCCGAAAAGAGCATCTATCTGTCCGATGCGTACCGCGCGGATGTGAGGCTCCGGAGTTTGTGCCTTAAAGCCCTAAACACTCAAACCCCTGAAGCCCTGAAGCAAACAAGCCCTGTAAATCATAAACCGTGTAATCCTAATCTTCTGCAAGCTGCGACTACCCCAGAGGCGCGTTCGCCAGTCGGTGACGGGCAATCCGCTCTACACCAAGTCGAACAGCTTCTTGGCATCGTTGGCCGTGATCGCCTAGTCTTGGGACACCTCTTCCCAAGATTTCCCTTCTGAGGCTGAAGCTCTGGATGTCGACTTGGAGACTCCTCGGCACTTGAGCACAGCTTCCACTTCTAGGTCTCCAGGTAACAGTAGATCGATGTGCCAGGCCCGAGGCACTGGCTTGCATGAAATGGCCCTCTCAGCCTGTCCCTCCCTGCATCCTCAACCCTTCCCCCATGTCCCCACATCCCCACCCTGCCATGTCTCCATCTCCGTTCCGGCTGGGGCTCTCACATCCCGAAGGGATCAGCTCAGGGGCGGGGTTGGAAGAAGGGAGTTCAGGAATTTCCGGCCCCGCTCTTTTGCACCAAGCCGCCCGCAGCGCGAGGCCTTGATGTACAGCTACAGAAGCTTCATGGGTCTCTTGGGTGCCCGAACCCAGTTAGCTTCACCCCAGGCAAAGCCTGATAAGTGGAGCATCATGCACGACATGGCTTTAGAAAAAAGGAGCATGGGATGCACTGATCTCCTGCCTCGAGTTCAGTTGAAACGTGTTGAACCATGTTGAAAGCATGATGACAACCTTCATCTCCTTTGGCTTTCAAGCAGACTGTATCGTCTAGCGCGGTGGGGGGATCTCTTCACACCAGGCACGTGAAGCTTCCCCTGGGCTGTAGCTTCGCATGGTCCACCGTAGGAAGCGTGCGCGCAACACGTCTGGGTTCCCCACTTGAAAGGCCATGGCTGAGGAGGAGGAAGCAAGCTGGGACCACACCTTGGAGGAGTGGCTCATCAGCGAGGCGCGGGGATTGATTTTTCGGCTTCAGACTGGCATTGGGCCTCGGCTTGCTTCTTAATTTCTTTGTTGGGCCCCTGGGTCTGGTTCGCGGTTCGGTCTTCGGTTTTGGCTTCCAAAAGCACTTCGGCGAGTCGCCCGCCACAGGGCATGGCATATGCTTAAGGCCGACAGTGATGATGAGTCTGCTTCCGTGACCAACATGACCAACAAGAAACTTGATTGTCGAAGCCAGAAACAGAGATCATATCGCGTAATCTTTTCAGTCAGTTCCGTAGTGACAAACTCCGCATTCAACCAGTTGCAGTCAGGGTGTAAGGACGCGGGGACGCATGGGCCTTGCCATTGTTCCTGGCAAGGGCTACTGCTATGCCGCTGGCATGGCCCAGCTAGAAGATGGCGGCTTCTACGCCGCCGCACCTGAGAAGGACGAGGCCCGGCAGTCTGCATGCGGCGCCAGGTCAGGCCTTGGGAAGTGGGGGGAGCGGGCGATGTGGACCCTGAAGCAAGATCCTTCAGGCTGGATGGGGCTTCATCTACATGGAGGATCATGAGCAGATGATTTTGCAGGATGCCGCCAGGTGGTGAATTTGGAAGTGCCGGCTAGTCTGACCTGATGTGTCTAGCATGTGCCACACACGTTCCATGTGCCAATGCCAAGGACGGCGTGACTGAGAAGAAGATGACCATCAACGAGGCCATGCGGAGTGATCACGGGCTGAGATGCTTGCGGACTGATGCCGACACCGACGAGCGATGGCATTGCAGCACTGTCCGCTCGCTCTTCGGGCCATGCACCCCTTGCTTACCACTTTCAACTTTCAACCGTTTCATCACAAGTTTCCCGAGACTTTCAGACCACGCCTTTCTCCGTGAGGGCACCGGCCTCAAGTTCCTGGCCGACAACCACAAGGCCGCACCCACTGGCCTCTGGTTCGGAGGGGAGACGCGCGGCCAAAGGAGGGGAAGAAGGTTGGGGTGTATAGGGCTTGGGTCCTTAGGTCAAGCGTTCCACTCGTGTGCCCAGGAAATACAAAGTAACACGCGTGGACAAGGCCATGGAGTCTGGAGATGCCTCGTTTCTCGACTAGACTCGTGTCGGGCCGTGAATTCAACCTTCAAGTTTGCAGCATGTCATGTGCCGCTTCTCCACGAACTCGGTGGCGCATTCCGAGGTTTGTGTTCATCTTTGCGGCTAAGCCCAAGAAGGCTCGCTGGGATAGCAGATGCTGATCTCATGGACATGGACGATGTGGGGAGCGGACTAGAGTGCTGGTGCGGGCCGCTCCTCAGTGTGCGGACAATGGCTGGCCGCGTCTGGCCCGCAACCCCTAAACACCTGCTCTCAGGGCGTTTCCATTGCCATCACCAAGAGCCAGATCATCTGTGGATTCTACGACGAGCCTCGTCCAATGTGAGGGTTTTTTTGTGTCTGTGCTCAGTTCGCTCTGTTGCTCAGGAAGAGAAGGGCCAAGTGGGCGGCAACTGCACAAAGGATGGGACCAGTGGTAAGCTTTGGTCGAAGCCCTGAACTCCTGAACAGCCTTGGGCACACTTGAGCTCCGACTGACTTCCCCAATTCATGTATCTCGCGCTCAGTGCCACCTGCGCCCAACAATGTGGACCGGGAAGGCTGTCGTCGCCTTTGCGGAGTACATGGTCGGATTGGGCTACTGAGATGGCTTGGCAATTCGGAAGATCCGATTGGGGTCCCAGAAACGGCCGAACTTTCAATTGCCGACGCTTGCATTTAGGATTCGTGACGTTCGTGACGGGACCCCTCTGGCACAACTCCTCATGGCCACCTGGGTGCGACCTCTGCCTGCTCGAAGCCTGCTATAGATTAAAAACTTAGCCATGGCTGTACTTTTACTGCGCTGTTACTGAAACGCGTTTGAGAGTTCTACAATGTTCTACACCACAGCTCTTTCAGAGCACACAAAGGCGCGGCTTATTCCACGCTTGGTGGGTAGGCCCTGCACGATGCTGTGGGAATGCACCGCAAGTGAAGGCTGTACACCCGGCAGCTTTCCTAAGTCTGCTCCTGCTGAGCGTCGAAGCGCCATGGGACATACGTGTTGATTGCTTTCAGTTTTTGTGCTCCTTCGAAGAGGATCCTAGAAGCGACGACTGGAGATTCCGAGCGTGCAGGTTCTGGAAAAGGAGAAGCCAATCCTAACAGCATCTAAGCATGTGAGAAGCTTCTGAGGGAGGTTCTTACACCTTAGTGCCTCAACCTTCGAGCGACTGCATCCCGTGGCCCGCAGCAAACGCCACCATCTGCTTTTGCTGGGTGCCGGCACCAGTCCTCGACGCCGCCTGGCCAAACCAACGCCAACAAAGCCTTAAACCTTGGGCCTGAACTCCTTTATTATGTTTATATCCATTACACCTAAAACATAAGATTTTTTGAAATAATATTAATAAACGGAATATATTAAGAAGTACTTCTGAAGTAGCTTAGTGCAAATGAGCACTTGAGGCCATGGCCGAGGAGGAGGAAGCAAGCTGGGACCACACCCTGGACGAGTGGCTCATTAGTGAGGCGGCTTGGGGATGTCTTTCGGCCTCAGGTTGGTGCCGGGCTTCGGCGTGCTTCTTTCGGGTGTGGGGTTGTTGGATGTTAAGTCAACCATGCTCCTCGCCACCGCTCCTAAGCCGACCCGCCTGCAGAGAGTCCCGCCGAGCCCAACCGCAGCGAAGCCCGCAGGCAGAGAGTCTTTGCCGAGTATCCTTGGAGTTCGCATTCCCAGAAGCGCAACGTGTTTTCGTCGAGTATCCTTGGAGTGCCCATGTTTTCTAGAAGCCCGCAGAGAGTGCCGTGGAGCACTCCCTGGAGCACGCCGAGTCTCCCGGGAGTACTCACCCCCCGGAGAAGCCCGGAAGCTCTCACATCAAGTGATTAGCTTCACGGTTTGGATGATCGACATAAGCATTTCTCTGTGCAAGTTGGAGGCGCTAACAACACTTGGGGTCTGATTCACAGTTCGGGCTTCATTCAATTTTGACGTCCAAAAGCACTTCAGCAAGTCGATAGGCGGCCACACAATGCATGAAGGCCAGCAGTGGTGATGAATCTGTTGCAGTGATCGACATGACCAACGTCGTTTCACTTTGCCATGTGGAAGCACTTGATTGTCGAAGCCGGGGGTCAGATCATGCTACATATAATGTTTCAGTCAGTCCCGTAATCACGAACTTCGCGTTCAGCGAAGCTATTGGCGACCGATGCACTTGGAGCAACCAGTTGCAGTCAGGGTGTAAGGACGCGGGGATGCATGGGCCTTGCCATTGTTCCTGGCAAGGGCTACTGCTATGCCGCTGGCATGGCCCAGCTAGAAGATGGCAACTTCTACGCCGCCGCACCTGAGAAGGACGAGGCCCGGTGGGGCTGCGTCAGTGGCGCCAGTTCAGGCCTGCACAAAACGGGGGAGCGGGGGAGCGGTGGGGCCATGTAGACCTTGAAGTGCCACGACAGATACGTGGCCGCGTGGCCTTCTCTCCAAGATCCTCAGGCTGGATGGGGCTTCATCTACAAGGAGGACCACGAGGAGATGATCATGCAGGATGCCGCCCGGCGATAACAGGAACTGGGCCTTGATATGCTACAATATGCTACAGGCATGTGCCACGTTTTATGTGCCAAGGACATGACCGAGAAGAAGATGACCATCAACGAGGCCATGCGGAGTGATCACGAGCTGAGATGCTTGCGGACTGATGCCGACACCGATGAGCGATGGCATTGCAGCACTGTCCGCTCGCTCTTCGGGCCATGCACCCCTTGCTTACCACTTTCAACTTTCAACCGTTTCATCATTTGTTAAGACTCCCGAGACTTTCAGACCACGCCTTTCTCCGTAGGGCACCGGCCTCAAGTTCCTGGCCGACAACCACAAGGCCGCACCCACTGGCCTCTGGTTCGGAGGGGAGACGCGCGGCCAAAGGAGGGGAAGAAGGTTGGAGAGGGGAGGGTCTTTGCTTAGGACAGCTGCGACCGTTCCATTCCCTCTACCCAGGAAATACGCAGTAACGCGCGTGGACAAGGCCTTCGAGTCTGGAGATGCCACGTTGCTCGACCAACTAGCATCCATGCCGCTCATGCTACTCTCTCATGTCGCAAGGGCCGTGTTTGGATTGAACGTTCACCATGTCAAGTCGAAAGCATCGACCCGCAATGACTCCCCAGCAAGTGAAACCAAATCTCAAAGTCCATGCCAAAGTCTACATGTATATAAACCGATCTTGACCGCAAAGTGCTAACCTTCGAATTCGCAGCTTCCATGTTATGTGCCGCTTCACCGCTAACTCGGCGGCGCATTCCGAGGTTTGTGTTCATCTTTGCGGCTAAGCCCAAGAAGGCTCGCTGGGATAGCAGATGCTGATCTCATGGTCATGGACGATGTGGGGTGTTCCCCTCTTGCTTGCAGAGCGGCAGTCTGCGGACAATGGCTGGCCGTGGCTGGCATTCAACCCTAAACCCCCGTCTTGCTCTGAGGGCGTTTCCATCGCCATCACCAAGACCCAGGTCATCTGTGGATTCTACGACGAGCCTCGCCTAATGCAAGCTTTGTTGCATCTGTGCTCAGTTCGCTCTGTCGCTCAGGAAGAGAAGGGCCAAGTGGGCGGCAACTGCACAAAGGATGGGACCAGTGGTAAGCTTTGGTTGAAGCCCTAAACTCCTAGAGGCTGCAGTCCAAGTAGCCAACATTGAATGATTAGAAATACCTGTACTTCGGTCTTTTCCTTGCCCAGTCCTTTTGGGGACCACTGACCTGCCCTGTAGGCGGTCGTCGCTTTCGCAGAGTACATGGTCGGCTTGGGCTACTGAGCCAGGCGGATTCCGGGGTCGATGCGCCTTGAGGGGATGAGGTCCGGCTCTCTGTGGGATGGTCAGCCCCTTTGAATCGTTGCAGTTCCAGGTCTGCGAACCCCGTTTGAGTGAGTAGCCCAGCGACTTTGGGGCAAGATGCACCGCAAGAGAAGATTGCAACAGTCTTCCTAAGTCTGCGCTTGCCGGATTCACAACACAAGATGTGCAGCGACACCGCTTTGCATTGTTTGGCTGTTTTCCTTTGTGCTGCCTCCAGCCTACAAGGATCGTAGATGCACAGAGATTGAAGCTGGAGACGAACGAGCTCACAAAAAAGGGTGCCGAAGCGATGCTGCAGATGCGGGATTGCCTTTGGGTGAGTCTCTGCCAAAGCGATGTCCGCAATCTTCTGCCCCCCCAGATACTCATAGAGCTAGAAGTCAAGTTGATGCAGCCTTCCACCACAACGGAGCCCCTACATCCCTCCCAAAAGTACCGCGTGTCCCATAAACAAACATGAGCCCAACTCCGAACCACTGGTCTTTGAGTTGAAAGACACTGGTATCACCCAGTGGGGCCCTCCTTGCCATGTCGTGCCTTCCACGCGAGACGCTGTCCCACTTCGAGCAGCGAGAGCAGGACCAGCTTGTCCCATGATAAGGAGGGTTTGGAGGTTTAGGGCTCAAGGGGTTTAGGAGGGTTTGAGGGGCTTAGGAAGGTTTGGATGAGGAGGGTTTGGATGAATAAGGGTTGTTGAGCTTAGGAGGGCTTAGGATGGTTCGGCTTTCAGGACGGCTTTGGGTTTGAGGGTTTGAGGTCTTAAGAGCTTAGGAGGATTCAGGATGGTTCATGGGTTTGTGGGTTGAAGAGCTTCGGAGGGTTTAGGAGGGTTTAGGGTTTAAGGCTTAGGGGTTGTAAAGGCTTATGGGTGGTTTTTGAAATGAACGCTAAGACCTGTTTGTCGGACAGGAGATCCTGGCACGCAATGACGAGATCGAGCGAAAGACGCTGGGCAGCAGCCGTCAGAGAGCAGCTCAGGGTCGCCTCGCGTTCTCCAAAACCCCTAAAACCTCAAAAGCGACAGGCTCTGAAGCATCTAAACCCCCGAAACCTCAGGAGGCTCCAGGCGCTGGATCAAGCGGAAGCCTCAGCGGAAGGGGAGGTTACCGGAGGTTCAGATATTTTTTCGTTGGGGTTGGCCCTTTGAGGTTCAGGATCTTCTTCGGTTGTTCGTGCAACCTAGCTCTCAAGTCTTGAGTTCAAGACCTGTCAGGTCCCTCAACTGTTCCGAGAAGCAGCGGCCTCCCATTCGTAACATTCATTACATGTCAGGTTTCGGCACAGTTTTATGGGGTGTGGTTTTCCATTGGGATGATTAGTGCTTCTGATTCACATCACTTTTCATTCCTGTTTCTCCAGTATGTCAACACAGGCCGACATTGAATGAACTTTGGTGGTAGCGTTCTGAGCTCGTCATTCAGCACGTTGGTCAGCGAGTGTTCTTACTCAAAGGGAAAGCTTTGAGACTGCTGCAATTCACAGGCCGGCCCTTTGCTCTCTTCTTAATCGAACCTGCTGCAATCGCACTCCAGTATGGCGGCGAGACTTGGTGTAGACGTAGCTTAAAAATCAACCTGCACGGGACGCCATCAGGCCGTGCTTTCTGCATGCTTGCGTGAGCAGTAAGAGCATCCAAGACATGTCATGTGGTCTGCGAGCCTTAAATACATTATCGACAACACGCTGGCTCGGAATGGAGGTCTTTATGGTACTTTCCAAAGCCCCACGCCCTAGCAACCCTTGCAACCCAGGCAACCCAGGCAACCCAGGCAACCCAGGCGACCCAAGCGACCCAAGCGACCCAAGCGACCCAAGCGACCCCAAACCCCAAACCCCAAACCCCAAACCCCAAACCCCAAACCCCAAACCCCAAACCCCAAACCCCAAACCCCAAACCCTAAACCCTAAACCCTAAAATTCTAAAATCCTAAAGCATAAACCCTAAATCCAAGCAAGTTTGGAACTCAAAGCCGTGGGCTCCTAAGGCCTGCGCCGCGATCAGGGAAGCAGAGCTCGGAGCCCGAGCTTCTTTGAGGGCTGAAGGGGTTAAAGAGTTAAGGGCTGGAATGTAGGGTTTTTTAGGGCTGAGGGTTTAAAGTTTAAGGTCTAGAGCTTCGGGGTTTAGGGTTATGAGTTAGAGGGTTCAAGCGATTCAGGTTTGAAGCGCTTTCGAGTTGAGGCTTGGCGTTCGGGGATCCCGGGTGCTGAATTTGGGTCGCTTACGCTGAAGTCGGAGTCCTCCAACAGGCCAAGCCCTCTGCCGACATTGACAGATGAAGCTTTATTATTTGTCTGTTTGCTTTCGAGATTTCTTTCTTTTTGCTTTGTTGAGGACCTTTTGCCTTAACACACAGGTCTTGCACTCTCCGGCCGACGCGCCCCGAGGCCTGGAGCGCAGATGCATTTCTATGGCCGTAGGCTGCAGTCCTTGAAGCTTAAACCCTAAAACCCAAGGAGCCTGAAAGCCTTAAAGCCCCTATGCCCCCCAAGCCCTCAAAAAGCTGAGCATGGAACACCGAAGACCTGACAGCCTTAAAGCTTGGGATGCTCCCCTTCCTACTAACAGTCCTTGATAGGGATTAGAGTACCCCCTAGTATATTCCCTATTAAGGACTGTTAGTATGAGGGAAACATCCCAACTTAACGCCTTTTATGCTCCCCAAAAAGCCTTCAAGAAGCTCCGGCCAAAGTCCGACTTTCGTCCGAAGGCCGCGCCGGCCGAAGCTTCTACTGCCGAGCTGCCCAGCCCTTAGATGTTCAGGCTTTTGTCATCGCTCGTAGGTTTCCAGGAACCTTCTCAAACAGACAAGCCTTGCGACATAAAAAACGCATTTGCCTGCTTTATCCGACCCTACCCCCTCAAGCTGAAGAATCCTTAAGCCCTAAACCTGTAGAGGTTGGGGGACGATACAAGGGTTAGAAACCCTCAAGCCCTCAAAGCCCCAGAACCCTAAACCCTGAGTTTCCAGGCCCGGGCCTCTCTGTGGTGATCCTGAAGCCGCGCCGATCCTGGTGCGCGACATGCCACATGCCAGGGGAGAGGGGGCGAAGAGGTTGAAGGGGCTTAGGGGCCTGGTTTACTCCCAAAAGGTCCCAAGTGCTTCAACCCAAACCCTTGCAAAAAACCCCGCCCACCCTAAGACCTAAGCCCAAAATAGCCTAAGCCTTAAACCTAAACCCTAAACCCTATTCAGCCCCCCGCATCTGCTAGGCCGCCGCCCTGGGCGGAGTGGAGTTTGAGCTCCGGCCTCGGTTTGGTTGAGAGGACTTGTAGGATGTAGGGCTTAGGGGCTTATGGGGCTTCAAGGGGGTTTAAGGGTGTTTAAGGGGGTTTATGGGGTTCATGGGGTTAGGGGGGTTTAGGAGGTTAAGGGGTTCAGCTGTTTTATTGTTTTCGAGTTCGGGTTTAGGCTAATCCTGAAATCCTAAACCCTAAGCCCTAAACCCGAAACTAACCCTATACCCTCAACCCTCAACCCCCGACTCCTCAACCGACCCAACTCTCAACCCTAAAACCTCCCTTGGTTGCATTCTCGAGGCCCCAGTCCCTCATCGGCTCTGGGGGACACGAGGCTGGTAGGGTCCTCTAAAGAGTGCTGTCAGGTGGTTCGCCTGAACGGAAACCCGAAGAGGAGACGCTAGTTTAGATGTTTTAAGGCATTTTTCGGATTTGCGAGTTGTTGTGTACGGCTTCGGGGCGAAAGTCGTTTTTGGCCAATCTGACAACCAGTCGCAGTACTTTTGCAGTGGCGATATTCCCGACGAGCCAGCAGAGGCTGAAAGAGAAATCTCTCTCTCTCTCTCTCTCCCTCCCTCCCTCGCTCGTTCTCTTGGTATATACCGTGTATTTATGTACACACATATATATATATATATGTATGTATATGTATATGTGTATGTTTATACTACACAACTGCAGGTGTGCAGACGTAGTGGGCACCTTGGGACAGTGGGATCCAAAGCTGTCAGAATCCCCTTGATCTGAGACAGGCTCTGCAATCCACCGTTCGTGTGCAGAATGCCCGCATCCTGGCATTGCAGGAGGCGCCGTGGACTTGGGACCAGGGTTCGTCCCGAAGCTGTTGCCTGGATCAGAGCCCCAAATCGCCACAACCCGTCTGGGCCCTTACAAGGCGACCCTGCCATGCCTACTATTGCAAATGTTCCACTGTAGTTCGCAAGCCCTCAAACCGACCTTCTCATGCCGGGCCTCGAGTCGCTTCTGCTGCGTGATGACGGCTCTCAGCAGTGCTACAGCGGATCAGCCCAAAGGGCCCAGTCCCCTTTTTCTTAACCCATTTGGAGCTTTGGCTAGGCTTAAGGGGTCCACCTTTCAATGCTGGGCAATATGTGCAGAATGTTGGATTTTGGTATGGATGCCAGCAGCAAGACGAACAATGACGAACACGAGGCCTGACATGTCCCTCCGTTCTTTAAAGTCCTTGCCGCATCGCTGATGGGCAGCTCGCCGTCTCTCCAAGAGATAGAAGAATGTGCCAGAGAGCCTAGAAGAACCTCGGAGGCAGTGGCTTCTGGTGGTTCTGGGGCTGTGTGAGTTTGTTCGTCCGTGGTGTTCTAGGTTTTCCGTGTGCTCCGCTCAGGCATCTTTCACGAAGTTGTGGACTTCGTTCGTCTTTCGGACGCAAGTGCTGTATAGATTTCTCAGGGGGACTTTGCAGCATCCGCGCCGCTGCAAAATTGAAGGGGATAGGTCTGAGTCTGACGACTGCTGTGTCCCCATTGAAGTTGCTCACAGCAGGTTAGCTTCAGTGGCACAGGGGCCTGGTTTTACAGTGGGTGGTGCAATGTCCCAAACAACAAACCCAAAGCCAAAACTTTGAACCCTGAGCCCAAAACACCCCAGAGCTTGAACCTACCCTCGGAGAGCGCAGGCTGTGTAATTTAAGCTGAAGAAGGTTGCGAGTCTAAATTTCTTAAGGCCTTGGCAGGGAGTTCAGGCAACTGCGGGGACTAGATTGAAGTAGTGGGGTTTGTAATGGCGAGGCCTCCCTTTTGTAGTTTGCGCCGCCCTCAGAAGTAGGTGTAGGCCTCAGTCCCTGATCTTACGAGGCTACTCGACGCCCAACGGAGCGGCCATCAAGCATCTCGGACGGCGTTCAGCTACTCTTGGGGAATCTTGGGGGTATCTTAAACTTAAGGAGCCCTAACACGCCTCACCAAGACCCGAACGCCCAAGCCCGAATTGGCCCCGGGGACCTTGCGCGAACCTTGATCCAGGCATGAGGGCGTGCTTCTGGACATCCCCCAAAACGGACGCTGCTGGGCCATGAATTGGGAAGGGCTCCCAAGGCTCTCAATAATTAGGCGGATTGTGATTCTCGGGAAGTGGCCCATTGGTAGCTCCAGTTGGAGTTCTAGCCATCGAAGTGCCAAAGTTTTCAGGGGACAAAATGGCAGAAGAGTTTCAGAACCCCGCAGTTGTCCCACCCGTGCCCCCAAGGAGAGTGCCGTGTCGCCTTCCCGCCCGAGGGATGGGAACTGAAAGGCTTCGTCTCAGAAGGCGGAAACATCGGAGATCATCCGAGGGCCGGGTGCAAGGATGGGTTGTTTACTGCCGGGATTCTCGCCAGGACCTGAAGCAATGCTACTTGCAAACTTTGTGCGATCGGGGGAGAGTCCTGTCGTACGCGTTGATGTTGAAGCAGCCCCAATGCCCGAAAACTTCAACCATGAATCCTAGACTTCGGGGAGACTTCGCAGGTGTCTGGACGAACTTCCTCCTCCCGGGAGACTGGGTGGGCTTTCTCGCGGTGCGCCTGAGAGGCCCTTGCATCTGTTGCGGCTTCTCAAGGTAGGATCCTCCCAGTTTTGGACACTGAGAATTCGCTTTGGGTTGGCCAATGTGATCAAGTGCCTCTGCCTTGGACCTTCCTTTCCCTTTGCCCTCACAGCCTCAGAATCCAAAAGTCTCGGTGCTTCGCTTCGATGGAAGTCTTCCTCACTTCATCACTCCGGTTGTAAATAGGGTGGCTCACATCTGTTTGATTTCATATGGGTTCCCACTGAGTTCCCACATGTGTGAACCCCGCGCCTCACCCCAATCCTGAATTCCTCCTTCTTCCCCCTCCTGGACAGGCCGCACGGTGATCGCGCAGCTCGTGTGCTTGCGGCCGGGAGCAGTGAGCCGCGCCTTCCGCACCTTGCCCCGGCTTTTGGGGTTGCAAGCCCTAAAGCCCATATGGAGGTAGGGGGGGGGATTTCTCCTGTTAGCTTTAGCAGTTAGAGGTTAGAGAATGGCACCTCCATCCCAAACCAACTTCAAACCTTCCAGCAGAGGTCAGATGGGCACCCCATCAGACTACAGCTTCGCCTACAGCTTCTACCTGCGGTGTTGTGGCCTCCACGCGCAGCACCAGCAGTTGGCACGGCGCTACTGGCGAAACTCCGAGGTCTTCCGAGCCTTCTTCCTGGGCCGGAAGGTGGAAACTGGGAGTGTGAAGCTTTAGGTTTTGAACTCCTTTTTTTTACGCCGGAAGAGCGGGCGCCCCCAAGCCAAATGCTCGGCACACCCTGCACCATGGGCCCCGCAAATTTCCCGAACATTTCGAAAACTTCGAAGGTGGACTGGAAGGGCAAGGTCCGGTGGAGCCGACAGACGAGCTCAGCGGACACGGCCAGTGGGGGCTTTCGGTTCAGGGGCTAGTGTTCTTCAACGTACCCACATACTAAGGGGAACGGCTGTTGATGATCATCCCGGAACCTTCTCGGAACCTAGGCTTTTGCCTCTCAAGCCCGAATGACCCTGATTTCGCTCTTCAACCCCGGGACTCCGAACAAACAATGGCTCCTACACCCCACGCCCTAAAGAGGTGATGGTCCAGATGAAACTTCGCGAGAGTGTTTTCGGTGAGCCGCTGCTTCTGTTTGCCGAGCCTGGCATGCTTGCACGAGGACACGATGTGGGTTTTGAACTTCGGGGTTGCATGAAGAACGGTGTTGGGAGCACATAGCTAGGACTATCTACGAAGCCTAAGACCCAGGCCCTGCACCCCTAAACCCTGATACTGTAGAACCCCTAAGCCCATAAAGCTCCTAAAGCCTCGCATGGATCGCGAGAAGACTGTAGGTTTAGGGGGGAAACCGCAAAGCCTCGACCTTCTTTCCCCCCAAGTCCAACTTCTCCTTGGATTCTCGCGGGTCCTTACTTCCTCTCCGGTCGTTTCCATTGTTTTCCGGAGGGAGCGCTGGCCTGGGGTCTTCTTCGGCTGGCAGGGTCGGGGCTTCCTTGGGGGTCGGTGCACAATGATCCGGGAAGGGAAGGGGTTCAAGCCTTCAAACCCCTTGCAACCCCCAAGTTTCGGATCAAAACCCCCCAACCCTACGGCGTTCTCGTGTAGGACCCTCCTTGAGCTCCGGCACATGGATCTCGCAGCTCGGCGGCCCTGGGATGTGCTGCTCCAAGCAAGTTGGCTACTGTGAGGGCTCTGGTTTTGTGCTGGTTGAGGGTTTGTCAACGTCTTGCAATGGTCTTGTGGTTTGGTTGGGCTTGATGATTGGTGTGTAAGGTCGCGAATTGTTATTCCCAGCGGTCGGGAATCTCGAAAATGTCATGCTCCAAGCCGCTGAGGGGCGTTATCGGAGGCTCCCCCCAAACAAGTGGCCATTTCCTCAAGTATGCGTGAGGGCCCGGATCCGGATCCCAACCAATCGATCGCTCCTAAGGTTCTCGGCGGAGCTTGTGGATCAGGGCGGTCGCCTCTTCTGCCACCGCCTGCGCCTCCTGTGTTTCGGATGCCTTCCTAGAGTTGCCCCCAGTTCAAAAGGGCCATAAAGAGAGATAATAAGGGCAATAAGGGGGAGGAACCAGAGGGCTTTCCTTGAGATCTGAGGCAGCCTGTACAGATCACAGAGGAGGAGCGCTGGCCGGAGTCGGACACCGAAAGCGAGACAGAGCCGGAAACCGACCAGGCATGTGGCATACTTCCGAACGTATTCTGAGAGGTCTTGGGGCCTAAAAGGGTTTGAGGCACTTCGGTCACAAGCCTCCGCTGTCAGAGGTAGAGGCGGAATCGTCATCATCCGGCGACGAACGGTGGAATCGGCGGCGTTTGGATTCTGACGACTCGCAGCCGCACTCGCCGTACACCCTCGTGGGCAGTGAGGAGGACCGGGCCCTCAACGCCCTGAAATCTCTACACCCTACACCCCCAAGTCCCTACATCCACCCCACATGAACCCATGAGCCCCGGCAAGCCCTCCTAAGGCACCTCCTAAGGCACCTCGCAGATGTCAGGAGCAGGAGCCGGTGGTGGACCCCGGAAGTGCGTCGACATCGGAGCCCTTGCTTCCCGTCCCCTGACGCGCTCGAACCGAAGCCCAAGTAAAAGCCTGAACTTGGGTGCCAGTCTTCTGAGAACATGTTTAAGGCTACTATGGGCTTAGAAGGGAAACGCAGGGTTGTTTGGGAAGAGGCAAAAATGAGGTATTTGATCAACTACCAAATAATCAACCCCAACCCCCCCCCCCCCCCCCAAATCCCCAAACCCCAAGGCCAAACGAAGGGCCGAAGGGGACGCCCAGTGCGACAGTGGCCGAATCTGTGTCATCTGTCAGGCGCCTGGGTTGAGGGCTTCTGGGGATCACGAGGGTCGAGGTCCAAGTGCAGTGGAGCTCCCCAAGCCAAGCAACCTTAAACTTAGGTTTGAGGGTTTAGGGTTTCGGGTTAGGGTTTAGGGTTGAGGGTTGAGGGTTTAGGGTTTAGGGTTTAGGGTTGGTTGAGGGAATCTACCAAAGAACCCAACAACTGCTGAGCAGAAGCCCTCAAAGAGTGCTTGGGGCCCCCTTTTCTGTGTACTGTCAGGATGAGCCAAAGACGCATGCCTTCATACCCTGCGGGCATCTTGGTGGCTTTAGGGAAGCTTGGTGGATAAGAGTCTGCTGCCCCGTTGGGACTTGTTTAGCACAAAGAGGTCAGGTCAATTCCATGGGGTGCTGTTTAGATGTACATGTAACTTTTGGGTTTGGGCCTGGGATAGAAGCCGACTTCTTCGTGGACAAGCCGGAATAGAGGACGAGACTTTGTGTCCGTTCGCAGCTGTAAGCTGCTCAAGAAGGGCCCTTCTAGTATTGTAGCAGCCGAACTTGTACAGTTTTCGCCCCCGAGGATAGTATTCCTGTACGTCGTGGACTTGATTGGCCAACTCGCATCCGGAGGAAAGAGGAGCCAAAAGGGTCGGGCGTTGACGAGGAATAGATCCTTTTCCCTAACCTCGGGATAGTTATCTGTTCTCTTTACAACTCATAGCCGGAGGCCGGAGGATACTGAGGGCAGGTGGCTGTTCAGGTGAATATCGGGATAGGTGTACAACACGCAGCCGGACGGCTAGTGGATACATCTAGAGCGATAGGTTACCACCCCCTGGAGATAGCAACTCTGGGGATCCTTCCGATAGTTAACGTCGGGAGTGGCTTGGAATACTTGGCTAGCTACCTCGTGTTCCCCGTTGACAGGGATACTGTTACTTCTGGTGCAACATTACAACCTACAACTGTAAATATACAACTTCTTTCTCCTCGTGTGGCCTGAGCTAGTTACTGGAACGGGTTGCGCAAGTTTTCATTGGTTTGGACACTTCGCACAGGTTAAGAGCCTTGTTGCTTGGCCTGGACGAGCTGTTCGAGAAGTTTTCTTGGTATAGCGAAGAGGTACCACTTGCATAGCGAAGTTTTCCGCATTTGTCACTTGTGTTCGTTGACTGCAGCAATGTCCACACGTGATAGCATTGGGAGCAGTGAGTCTAGCGATAGTGATGTATTGGGAGTAGGGAATAGATTTCTCGAGGACCAGGTCACTGCGGTCAATCAGGATGTGGCCGCTGCCGATAGTCATGTGAGAAGCATAGCCGACGCCGAGAACGTGAACTTCATCGACGACGGACGGAATAGTGGAAGGACGGGAATGGAGATGGATAGCAGTGCTGATAGAGATCGCCTCGGCCTCAGTTTCTCAGGACCGCTTACTGTAGACATCAGGTCGAGTGCTGCGAATAATATGTTAGTGTCAGGACCACCCCCAGGACTGACGGATAGAAACTTGGAGATCGTGGCGGCGATGGATAGTGTGGGGAGGTCGGGAGGACTGGGCTATGCCGGAATAGCGGACACGTCGGGCACTCAGGGGAGGGACGCAGACGAAGGATTGCAGGAGTTGCTCGCAATCCCGTCGATAGCAGATAGAGGGGATGCCGTAATGCAGCTCAGCATGCTTGCAAGCCGTCCTGTAGTGTTTGATCCAGTTATGGGAGCTACAGATTTAAATGAGTATAGGGCCGGAAGAGGTGGGATAGAAGCGGGAAACGCTAGGACTCCGACGCTTGCTATCGAGGATCTGGCTGGAATAGATGAAAGGATGGAAGAGGGACCGTTCGTCATCCCCTCCGAGCCTGTGTCCCACGGGACGAATTACGAGTCAACGGGAGGTGCCAAGGGAATCACTGGTTCCAGGTTAGAAATGGCGATCGAGGACAGAGTGGATAGTCTTGCAGTGTCATCATCGTCAGATCATGATAGGACGATCAGGAGGAATGATGATGGAATAGATGCGATGATGCCTAGTGGCGAGCTCGGTGCGGAGGGCGATCGAACGAGAAGTGCGGATAGCGGACATTGGATGGGCAGAGGGAATGGAGATGATCTCGTTCCAGGAGTGTATTCGAATAGTGCGACCATGATTGGGAATGTCGGTGCCGATCCTACAGACCTGGAGTTGATAGCTAAGGGATCGTCAGCGGTAGCGCAGAACGTGGTCAGTGAGAGCGATGATAGAGCACTGTCTGTATTTTCATCTACAGGTCTCTCGGAGGCATCACCAGGCGGGAACGTTGAAGCGTTGAAAGATGTGGGGATGGGTCAGACTACGACGATCGGAATAGAGTGGGGATCCCATGGAATCCGGAGTACGCTCGAGGAAACGGGGGTCATCACTGACATGGACTTTGCGAAGTTCTTCACAGATCAGGGGCCAGGAGAGCCTGGATCAACGCCCATGACGATGCAATCGGATTCGCAGGAACGGTGGAACGCTGGGATATATGGTGCCGAGATCGCAGGGGTAGAGAAAGACAGGTCACGAAAGATGTCGATGGGGTCGGATAGTGGGCACTCAGGTGGTCGATCTACATCATTGAAGAGGGATAGCCCGGGTGGATCGGAAAATGGAGTTGGTACCACCAGCAAGATAGGCAAGATGGATGAGGGACTGCGTAAGCAACGAGCGGAGCAGGCCGTTAAGGAGATGAACCAGATAGCCGAGAGCGTCCCCGCAGCGAAGAAGTCGAAATCGACAGAAATTGGGGGACCGATCCATCAGGCAGGAATGATCACCCCGGATCAGGGTAGCGAAGGATGGGGCAATCGATCCCCGGCTCCACGATCTCCTGGGATAGGTGGGCAGTACGAGCATTTCGGGATCGATACTCCTCCTGAAGGACGAGGCAGGAACGACGAGATGAGGGCAACATCATCCCCACCCAGGCGGGCAAAGATGAGAGCTCCTGCTGATCCGGACAAGTCGTCGTTGGGAGAGATAGATGGCAGGATAGATGACTTGCAGACGGTGGTTGTGGACACGCAGACCGACGTAGCCAAGCTTAAGGTGGCAAGCGAATGTGCAAGTGCAATTGCTAATAGCTCAGCGGAAAAGGCGGACGTCGTGAGCAAGAGATTGGTGGAATGCGAGGAGGAGGTGAAGCACTGGAAAGGTTGGATAGAATCGCAGCAGATAGATACCAAGACAACACTGTCGCAGGAGCTGAAAGAGATGAGTCGGATCATGGACGGGAGCGTCAGCGAGGATAGGATGGATGATGCAATGGCTCCGCAACTGACCGAGGGAGCAATGCAGCTCGCACGGAGAATGAGACGGCAGGTTGAAAACGTGAAGGTGCTCAAGACCTCTGTTACGACTAGATTGAAGGGAGTGGAGGAGCGATTGCCCACAGCGGAGCATTCAGCGGACATAGCCAAACAGAGTACCGGGACGAAGATCACCACGTTAGAGACAGGATTGAACGAGGTGAGACGTGGCATAGGTGTAGTCTTCTCGAGCATGCAAATGCGACACGAGAATGGAACATGGAAGAACGAGAGACTGGATAAAGTAGAGACGGTTTTGAATAGACAGTGGGACCAGATCAAGATAGCGGGCGAGGAACTAAGGAAGCTGAAGTCCAAGGGGAGCCAGAAAGCCGGAACAGATACGGCATCGTCGTCACATTGCAACAGCCAAGGAAAAGGTCCTGGATGCGGATGCAGAGAACCTGGCGAGGGTCACGGCACGTGCATAGATGGGGCAGTGCGGGGCGAAACCAAGAAGCTGAGTGAAGTGGTTCTGGCGCAGAAGGAACACATAATGACCGTCGCGAGAGAGGTGATAAAGAACCGCAAAAGCGTGGCTGAGATTGTGGCGAACATGACAAAGGTTCACAAGACTTGCGAGAATGTCGCGGCAAGGACGATCGGATGGATGAGAAGAGAAACGGAGAACAGGCCTGGGTGAAGGATACCGTGCGAAAGATGGAAAAGACAATGGAGTCAATGTCGAGCCGTATGATAGATGAACAGAAGAGAGTCACGGGCGAATTTATCCTTGTCAATGCTCGAATTGATGAGAGCGCACGGAACGAAGGGGTAGGCAAGATGCGAGGAAACAGTGCGGAGATAGGAAAGCCACCGACCATGTCACGCGGACGAGATAGTCATGGTGGGAGTGGGGGAGCCGACGGAAGAGCCAGGAGCGACAACGCCCGAGGAATAGAGACTTCGAGGCCGGAGTCGGCAGGTCCAGTGGTAGATCGAAGGATTGAGAATAGATGCATTGTGTTAGAACAGCAGGTGACCAAGATCACTAGTCAATTGCAGGGGTTGACCACTGTGAATGAGCGGATCGTGAGGGAGAACGCTAGCCTGCTTAGTGAGATAGAAAGCATGAAGGGGGAGAACAAAGGAGTGACAGAGTCGGTAGCGCGGATGGTTCGGGATAGTAGAGATGAGATATCTAAAATGAGAGCGGATCTTGATCTCCGAGGTAGAGAAATGATAGAACTCAAGGAGAAGAACGAGCAGTTGGAGGCAATGGTACGGGAATATGAACGGAGACTGGAGCAGGTGAAACGAAACGATAGCCTTAAAGCAGAGCTGGATAGCATGTGGCATAGAATCGGTGAGACCGGCAAGCAAAGCTCCGAGTACGCCATGCCAGCGCCGGGTGCGGGAGGTGCTTCGAACGCTGGCTCCGCAAGACCAAGTGCCGGTGCCACGCCTGCGCCACGTTCTTTTGGGGATAGAAGAGAGCATGGAAGA